ACAAGAGAGAGAGAGAGAGAGAGAGAGAGAGAGAGAGAGAGAAGTGGAAATTTATAATTATATTATATCTCTCTAAAAGTACTACGCTTTAAAAGAAAGTATCCATATAATCAACATTAAATTTCGTATACAAGTCAAAGTAAATAATGGCTGCAAAAGTAATAACGAAAAGTAACATTTAAAAAAATTATCACAGTTATAAATGTTGACGTACTTGAACTATTATGATGCTCATCAAAATACCGTAATATAAAGTTATCTGAAGTTGAACGAGTTGCGATTGTTGATAAGGCCACATTCCAATTACGAGTAAAAGTATCCGGTTGATGTTTAAATATTTAGTCACAAAGCACGTCATTTCTCTTCGAGTATCGAGACGCATTTGAACGCAAGAATATCGGCGGTGGTATGTTCATCCCTTCTTCCCATACAATCTATTAAATATTTAATATTGCTCCCACTTTCCAACAAAAATTCTGTTGTAAATAGCACAATTTAATACAAATGGGACGCAATGCCGTAAATTGTTACCGTGAGATTGGGCAATACGTGTCTTCACGCGTTTGCTAGGGTAGAGCCGGGTGATCAAGCGATCGATTCCACCTGGTGGCAATTTCTACGCATGTGCTTATTTGCCATAAAAAATACCGCATGCTACACTCCTTTGATTATAAACCGTGAGGGTATAGTCCTCACTCTATAGCTTCAGTGTTTTCGTACATTTCATTGTAGTGGAAACACTAGTTTGCAAGACTTCTTACAAATAGGTCAGTCGGTAGTCATATATAACGCTGTATCGATTTATCGTTGATTAAGTGTATTAAATATAGCGTTTTTACCAAAAGTATCTCTTTTTTATAATATTTTTCATATTTATGTTGCATGTTTCTGCAATTTTAACCTTAAATCGAACTTTTGTCTACTTTGTATGATAATATTAAGACATTTTCACAATTGTTTTTATACAAATTTTGTGCCGATTCTTTTTAACAGACGCTATTAGAATTTATTTTGCCATTTTAGTTTTTATTTATTAATAATAATGACCTTGTAATATTGATATAATTAGGTTATTAAAATTAACATTTTAATATTGAAATAACCAAAAACAAAAAATTGACATCTTTTTACAATATATTAGTCTATTTAAAACAAGACACGCATATTAAATTATCACATTATATTATAATATGCGGAGACAATTATTAAATGAACAATTTGGAAGTCACCAAAGCTTAATATTAATGAATTATATGTTAAACTCAAATTATTGTCTCAACGTCTTGGTTAAAATTTATATGTGTCACAATTTTTTAACAGCTGTTGTTCAAAAGAAACATTATTGATGCTATAAGTTAATTTTCCACATTGATCATTATATTAGCCACACATTCAAGTTTAAATACTTTAGAATATTTATATATTATTTTGTATGCGCATGTACCTCAGCGCACACACAGTTGAAGAAGAGATACATATTCTAATGAGTACTCTAGGCATTATGTTAATAATTTCTATATTTATCGAAAACGAGATATATAAGCGACTGAATAAAGAAAATAATGTAAAGAACATATGTGTCATGAGAAAATTTTAAGAATAAAATCGAAAGAGCATTCTGCATTCGGAAACTCTGTAAATGACAAATATAAAATTTATCATTAAAAGCATAACAATAAAGAACATAATTTTTTATTGGTTTAACAAATTTCATTACTTAATTTTTCACATTTCTAATGTGTATTATCTTGCGTATAAATTTTAACATACCATATATTGGTAATATACTCTCTCGATGCACTAAACTTATAAATTATATATGTTTATATATTATATCAGATTATATCAGTATTATATCAGAGAAATCAAAAGTACAAGTAAGAAAGGGAGAAAACATGAAGCGATAACAGAGACAAGAATTTATTTACATTTAAAGAATTTGTTTAATTTAGATTAGATGTCGTCACAGTTTAGACATATTACGTATATTCTTATGTGTTACGAAATGATAATCTTTTGTTTCACCTTCGCGTAGAACATAAAACGGTAAAGTAAGACATGGAGGTATTTATCAACTGTAAAAATCATTTTATCTTGTATGTTGTTCGTTCAAATATATTATACTGAAATTTTCGTACAATAGAACGTGTGATATATTATACTTACTATGGTCGTACTTTCTAAGGATGCCGCGTACAATCCGCCAATATCCACTGTAAAGGGTTTCGTGCCTCTTTGCAACAAGAAGAGTATCATTTTCTGTATATACAAAGGAGCTGTATACCATCGGGTATTGTATCTATGAAAGGGGACCATAAATTATCGAAATTTGTAAGTAGATGTATAATTAATGTTTAACACTTGCACGTTCGACTAACAAGTTGCAATGAACTGCGGGCGCTTCGTAAAACAAAAATGCTCATACGTAATAGTAAAATTATTATTTTCTTACACAGTTGCGAATATTTGACTGTTGTGATCTAAAATTTCTTGCGCGAAATAGTTGGATATAAATACATATAGAAGTAGAACGCATATAAATATGGCATGTACAATCAGCTCATCTACACTATCTCCAAACGTTATAATCTGAAAAACCTGAAACCCGCAATAGAGATGAGTTATCTTACATATGTTTGGCTTACATCCATTTCAAAATCGCGAAAAATTAAAAGGAAAGAATAAACAAAACATAATATCCACGCATAAATTATTTTTCATCATTTTTTATTTTAGTAAAAATTAGTTAATATAAACCAGCTTAATACGTATAGTAGATTCAGTTACTAATTATTTATAAAAAAAAACAATTCAGGGTTTGATTTGACTAATTCTGAAAATCCGATCTGTTATTTTTGTGGTTTTCTAATAATAACATATATTTTTAAAACATATATTTAACATAATATAAAACATGTATCCTTTCGGATTTTTTTCGAATTCCTTGGATTTGATTATTATAACAGTGCACGAAATATTTAAATAATACGTTTGGAAACAAAACAAAACTTACTTGAAACAGATTGAGACTCAAGCAAATTATAATGCACATAAACATACAACAAAACAATCCATCGAAGGTCGAAAGGAAAAATTTGAATAGCCTTCAGAAACAAGAGTAAACGTTATTACATATTTACTACACATACCCGTATACGTGTAAACATACACATGCACAAATACGCACATCTACTACACGTATTAAAGATTAAATACCGACATCATAGCTTTACGATGAATATCCACAGCATGAATTATTCCATTATATATTTTAATTTCATTATTTAAATCAATTGTTCGTGTAATATCAATATCCATAGCACGTTCGATGCGATAACTGCAATCAAATCAGTTTTGCTAATACAGTGTATAAATTTATAAAAAACGGTACAAACGATGTTGTATATTTACTCTCTAGAACTATATTATTTTCTTCTCATATCTTTACCTGGCGACTTTAAATATTGCGCAGGTACATTGAATATATACTATGAACATTGTCCCAGTAGCTATTAGCGCAAATGTTCCTAGGCAAAAGACTACGTTCATGTGAAGCAAGATTAAATAGAAGTATTTCTCTTCATCGATAAAGTATTCGGTTATAATGTATGCCGACGCATATGTTTGAGAAACATTTATGAACAAAAATGTATTTAGGAAGAGTGGCAGCCATGGTTGGGCAACAGCAATAAATAGGGCCGATATGCCAAATACTACGGATGATTAAATAAATAGTATAATTATATACAATTTAACGAAATACTGAAATGATAAATATTTTATATTTATTTGCTTTCTTTTCCTCACTACTATCGAATGTTCTTCGAAGAAAAAAGTGTTGCCTTACATTACACATTAAATTATATTTTTATATCATTTACTAAAAAGATATATATATATATATAT